TTCAATATTTCTATAGATACAACCTAAAATTCTAATTTTCCTACTACTAGCAACAGCACATTGCTTGGATGGTGTTAGAGACTGATTGACTTTTTCTTTCCTTCATAACACTATTAAGGTTATTCCCATCCAAATTATACTTATAATTCAAATTATAATAACCCACATGCATTATCTTGCATTTATTATAATTAAAGCCCAGCTGCCATTTATTTGTCCAACTCACTAAATGATCTAAATCCTTTTGTAAATCAGCAGGATCCTCTTCACAGCTAGCAATGCCCAAGACTTTAATATCATCTGTAAATTTAAGTAATTTATTGACCATTCCTTCATCTATGTCATTGATGTAAATCAAGAAGAGAAGAGGTTCTAAGACTGAGCCCTGAGGTACCCCACTTGTGACATTAATCCAGTTTGACTGAACTCCACTTGTGACATTAATCCAGTATGACTGAACTCCACTTGTAAACAACCCTCTGCTTTCTTCCATCCAGCCACTCTTCTATCCAATTTGCTGACTTATCCCTCACACCTATAGAGCTAATTATTTTTACAAGCCTTTTATATGGCACCTTGTCAATTTATGGCACCTGAAAATTCAGATACACCAAGTCTATACCCTTACCCTCATCTACATAAGCAGTAACCTTTTCAAAGAATGCTAAAAGATTTATACAGTTAGATTTTCCCTTAGTGAAGCCATGTTGACTATCAAATAAAATTCTAAACTTTGTTAAATGACTTGGCAAATTATCTTTTAACATACTTTCCAAAATTTTCCCACAATTGATGCAAGACTAATGGGTCTATAATTACTGGGACAATTTTTATCACCTCCCTTGAAAAGAGGAGTTACTTTAGCTAACTTCCAATCCTCTGGAACCTGCCCACTATTCAAGGACTGACAAAAAATAGTAGTAAGTGGCTCACATATCCTATCTTTAACCTCCTTCAAAACTCTTGGGGAAATATTATCTGGCCCAGGAGTCTTATCATTTTGTAAACTTCCCAATTTTTTCTTAACCAGCTCTGTATCATTTGGTGGTCTGTAACATATTCCTACTAAAAGCCTTTTCCCTTTATATACACTAATAGAAACCCAAATGGATTCAATCTCTTCGCTATTATCTTTGATATCCACAACTTCAACAATTAGTAACTTGCATTTTACATATAAAGCCACTCCTCCCCTCTTTAATACTCTTATCCCTATTAAGTAGCCTGTAACCCTGTATTTCAAAGAAATTCTGTCATCAAAACCACCTACTTAAATTGGTAAACAACAGGTAGGTTTTACGGTGCTACTATAGCGTGAGGTCTACCGCCATATGTCGCCTACCCAGGTCTATCAAACATGTATAAAAATGTATCAAATTAAGTGTTTATTGCTAAAATAAATATATGGAAATGTGTGATATCCATGAGGGATGGATAATGCAGCGGTAGACCTCACACTATAGTACTAACGGGAGGTAGACCTCACGCTATAGTAGCACCGTTTTTACTCCATACTGATGTTTTTATTTAGAATTGTAGTGAAGGCTTTTACAGATTTGATTTTGAATGAATATTTAAACAATGTTTAAGAAACAGGATGAAACTGAGACATAAGTCTTATATATATCACTCAAAGAATTTATAGTATACATTTAAATAGTTTTAAGAATATGGCAACTTCAGTTTCACATGAGAAGCACTGTGAAATGAATTGATAGTATAGTTAATTTATAAGTACAAAAGAGTTGAAAAGCAATTAAAATATAATAAAACAATTTTGTCAGTAAGTATTTCAGTGGCACTGTAGAACAAACAAGTGCACTTCTCATATTTCACTGTCCTGCAGTTTATTAGAATAGAATGAGTGTTGTCTAGAATTGTTAAACAAAGGTGTGATCACAATTTTTAAGAAAACCAATTTCTATGAACATAATGATCTTTGAAGATTCTGTGAACAAAAGAAGGTGTTTCTGAGAAAAAAGTTTATTGATAATGATCATATTTGATTAGATAATGAGATAATATATGAATGGGTGAGTTAAAAAACAACATTATGAACCAAGAAGAAAAATGGTATTTGTAATATTATAGCTGAAACTGAGGAGGAATACAGTTTGATGGTGTTAATATGTTACTTACCATATTCTATACCGTCAGAATTATTTTTATTTTATTTTCAGTGTAATGTGATGGATGTTAGTTTTTAATTTTCATTGATGATTTTTATTTTTCAGAGTTTTATTCATAATACATTGGAGTGTCATGCTATTATTATTTTGATATCATTATAAAGTATATTTTTTTGTTATAAGTTTCAAAAGATATTGCATGGTTTGTAAACACAATGTTTATTGATAAGTATTTGTAATTACACACTTTTACAAGTTTTGCTAATATGTAAATATTATATATAATATAACAAAGGATCATCATAAATTATTAAAATAATCCTTAATTGGTGTGATATCACAGTAAGACTGGTAATTATTATAATCCCATTTTTATTTACTAGTCCTGTATGAGTTTTTGGTAAGAAAAATGAAATTCTATAATACAGCCTTTTTACTGGAAATTTTCCTAAGGCATATATAGAAAGATGTGATTAAAGTTATCTTCAGTCTTATTGTGATTAGAGGTATATCAATATATTATTTTATGATATAACATACAATGCTTCCTTTGAGTGCTGAAAATTGAATATATGCAAGTTCCCTGGAAATCTGTACTTTGATATCATTCTCCTATAGACCTAAAAAACTTCTGTTTTCAGTATCCGACAGACTCAGTTTTATTGTTTTGACATTAAAAATGTTTTGGTGTTTTTTTAATAAAATTTTGGAATGGGATTAAAAATTTAAATTGCCTTTTAAGTTCTTTTAGTTCACTTATAATTATCCCTAGAGTAAATCGCATCCTTTGCTAGTCAATCTCTAACATTGATGTAGCAAGATGTATGTTTCTTCAGTTATTGTCATAAATCCTCAAAATAATTGGAAAATATTTGTGCCATTTATAACACTTCTTAGAAGCATCTTGAGCAGCATTTCACACACATGCACAGAGCAAAGCAAACTTTAAGTAGATGTTCAGTCCAAATGACCTGGTTTGTAGCAAGCGATCTGACATAATTGCAATGACATTTTGTATGCAGTACGGTGTTCCAAGACCTAGAATTTTATGAATGGGGTCTCCAAAATGTATGCTCTGGTTGTTCTGAACTTCCTTTTGCAAATTAGTGCAAAGGATGGGCAAGTATTGAAGTACTTGAGTCACATTATGAAACCTGATATAATATCAGTTGATTTGAGCATTGCAGCAAATTCCTGGGCAATTCATTTATTACATTGATGAGTAGATTAGGATCTAGCAAACTTGATGTCAAAATTGCAAGTGCCTTTAATAGCATACTGATTGTACTAGTTCGAAACAAAAAAACTTGAGACAATGATATTTAAATACAGAGCCCAGCACCACTGGAATGCTGGTGTGAGCCCTATTTTAATGTCTATGATATAAAACAAGACTGTTTCACAAATGACATTTTTACATTTTATATATAGCCTTGTATGTTATAACCCAGACGAGCACTAATAGTGAGCAAAATGCCTCAACAGCTGCTGCAGCATCCAAAAACATGCAATTGAAATTATATCATGCATTATTCATAATGGAAACATGTATAGAGCCAGTAAAGTAAGTTATGGTTAAACATGGCAGTCATTATCTGGTGGGAGACATAGATTATTTGAAATTGAAAGTTAAAATTCAGCTCAAATGAATAAAACTGTCCCATTTAATTCAGTGATGATTGTTCAAGGAGATTTGCCCAAATCGTAATGGAACTATAGAAGGAACTTGTTTTACATTTATTGACTCTGAATCTTAGCTACTTTTGTTAATCTCAACTTTGTCTCTAGAGGTGGAAAAACTCCTCTAGAGATGAAACCAAAGAATGGACTTAACAGTTATCTTTTCTACTAATATTGCCTCCAGTAGAAGGTTGAAGGTAATTAGAAATCTCTGTAAAAAGCATGTATATATATTTAAAAAATACATCTTTCCTAACTTTGAAATATTATCATATATATTTCTAGTTTTTGACTTTCTGTTTTTGTTTCTATTTCTTGCAGACAAGAATGGGAAGAAAAGTAGTTCTTGCAGTTTGTACCCTTAATCAGTGGGCTTTAGACTTTGAAGGAAATTATCTTCGAATATTGAAGAGTAAGTTCTGATTATGTATATATGTAAGTTTGGCTAATTAGAATTATTGATGGAGTCCATATTGACCCCTTTTGCTTTAAAAAAAAACATTTTCTGAACTATTTATGCACCATATGGACCAAATTACATGTGGGTCCATGGCTTATTTTTTCATTCAAACAATAAAAGTAAACAAAATTTCCTTAGATATTGAAATTCATCCTTCTGGTTACTATTGGAGTCTCCAAGGTATTTTTCTTAGAAAATGAGTGATTTCTTTTTTTCCTCATCAGTTCTTTACACTGACTGCTATAACAGGCAAAAACATGCAATTCCTGAATTTGATGGAATATATGGACCCCACTGGTAGTGAATGGTATATCAACAAATCAGTCATATGAGAGTTAACCATCTTTAACTATACTAAGTGTTTTTTTTAAACTGTGATTTATTCGAAAAATTGCACTTAATAAAATGCAAGTATTCATGGCTCTGACTTGAACACTTAACATTGATTGGATAAGATTTCAAGGAAATTTTATATGATTTCTCTTTTAGTTTCAAAACTTAAAAGGTATTTTAAGTAACCTATAGTTGAAGTCCTTAATAGTTTTACATGTTTCTATAAATATTTTTTTCAGTGTAAGGTTAATTTGATCATTGAAGTAGAATTCTTGATAAACAGCTTCATGTACTCTTTGAGGCTGATGGTGAAAATATTTGGATATTGCCATATTTCATTTTGCTTCAGGGTCACCACTTTAATAGTAAAATGTGAATTCGTATGCAAACAGCTACTCCATGGAAATACTTATGCAGTCACTTTTAGTAATTATTCTGTAATGAGATTTCAAAAGCTTGATAATTTCAAACTCTTGCAAAACACTTGTTTAGCTAAGAAGGTGACTAAACCATAGTATATTGTTGAATTAAGTAACAACATTGCAGCTGTGAAAATCAGAACATCAGTTACTGCTGACCATTTAGCTTACCATGTCTTACAGCTCTGGTTGATCACAGTGACAATCTAGGGTTCCAGTTTTTATTTTCAGATGGTTAAATTATTTTTCTGTTGATCTTTATCATACATGTACAAGCTAAGGAATTATTATGTGGTAACTTGGTTCTACATAGTAAGGTTATTATTTCAACTTAACTCTTTCAGCACGGGCTTGGTCCCTGGGACTGACTTCGTAACCATTTTGTGCTTGTTATAGTTTTCATGCTATAACTTTTAAGTTAGTAAGCATATGTTAATGAAATTTGGCAGATTATCAGTAAACATTACAATGCTTTCAAATGCAAAATATCAGATTCTTTTTATTAAGTCTTAAGGTTTGTAAAGCAATGTTTTTCTCATGTCTTTTTTTTCTTTTCACATGTTGCCTTTCCAACATGAAAAGTAATTTCCATTTTAAGATTAAAAATACTTTTGTGCATCAGAAGCTTTTCAAATTTCACATGCGGAATCTTGTCCAGATAGCCTAACATAAATGTTTAGACTAAATAGCTTAAATCTCATAACATTATCCATTTATATATATTTATTATTTATATTATGTTGACCTTTCAGCCATGCCTGGCTAACAATACAGAAGTTACAATAATGCGGCACTCATGCTACGGTATCCAATAATATAAAACTGACCTTTAGTCTTTACAAAGTGACCTGTCTTGGCTGTGTTTTAATAGATAAACTAGTATTTTGTAAAATAGTCACATTTCAATTATTATACATTATATATGTATATAGATTATTGCTATTTAGAAATAAGTTCTTAAACTTTATTTACTAT